ATGGTCGACTATACTCGGGCATCGTCCGGTCTAGTTGCAGACCTTGCCATTGCAACATTGCTTTGGGCCCCGCAAAGCTACAACTCCCGAAGCAGTCTGTCACGACGTGAAGACTGATAAAGGGCTGCTTTATTCGCGGATGCATAGAATGATTATTTGAATGTGAGTCATCCTACATGTTGCGTATCCAAACAGTTTCAGTAAGAATGCGTCAGGGGGATGAGGGGTTTTTAGTTTAGCTGAGATCCGAGGGTCAGGAGGCTGTTTTTAGAATAGAGTCATCCAATTCAGAATCGAGATGAGATAGATCGCAATCGCGAAGGCGCATTTCTATGGCAATCGCGGGCCTCAGGGAATATAGCTGATCGTCGAGCCATGTTAAACTGGATTGGGAACAGCAAGCGCGCCAGAATTCTAGCTTTCTGGAAGCGAGAAGCAGGCCGCGCGTCTTTTGTTTTGGAAAGCCCTTGAGAATTATTTTAAATGAATCGTCTACCGCTTTGCGGATTTTGTCGAGGCTAGAGGAAATTTTGTACAAATCAGCAAGAAGAAGAACTATGAGTGAAGGCGTGGGCTTAAAATTGTTAATCATGAGACGGAAGTGGAGACCGGAGATGATCTGGGATATGCCGCAGTTATCAGTTCGGGGGAACCCAAATAGTCCGACGCTAGAGGCGGACTGGGGTTGTGTTGAGACTGGCTGATCCGATCTCGAAAGACAGGTGCTTAGTTTAATCAAGGCATCAGCTGCCTCATTTACTAAGTCGAAATGATCTCCATTAAAGTAGCTGAAAGGGATCAGGTAATGATGGCAGAGCAATAAGGAACTTACCGACAAATGAAAGCGTATATCATTACCGTCTCGCATATATTTAATGCAACGGAAGAATTTGGTCTTTTACCACTTGGCATCAATGTCTCCAATGATTTCGCTTGAGGTAAGGATTGATCAGTGTCCGTTATGCAGGTGGAGTCAATCCACCATGGGGACCAAATTTCAATATAGGCTGAAATTGCACCAGAATTAGCATGTCTTATAAATTCTCGACGCTCATTAAGGCTAAGCATATTCCACACAACTTCGGGGTCGAAATCTTGTGTTAAATCGATACCTCGAAATGATGGCATAGGGGCAGAAACAGATTCTTCAGAGGATGAGTGATTCTCAGAAGTTTCACTATCATAGCAATGGGACGTTCCAAATAGAGAATCCTTTAAATGTGCCTGTCTTGATAAAATGTGAAGTATCTGGTTATCTGAACTACGATCGTTCAAATTCTCAAGACAACATTCTTTATAGAATGCTTCGGAGCACTGAAAATGTTGGTCAGACTTATAACACTTAAGAGAACAATAATTAATATTACATCGAGGACAGGTGTAATTTGCATTGGCTTGCTTACAAAGGGCACACAAAGAAATATGGGTGGGGAACATGAGAACACAAAACGGCCGGGGTGTTTCTGCAACTATTAAAATGAACTTTTTATTTGAAATATAA